CCCCCCCCCCCCCCCCCCTCCGTCCCGCCTTCGCTATATAGGTCGCCCGTCGGGCTCTCAAACACGGCTTGACTGCTAAAACACGTGTGCACATCGAAACAATCACGGCGAAAGAGGCCTTCACCCGACGCGTCATGCGGGTTTCGCGCTTGCCATTAAGCCCTAGAGAAGGAAGGGTTCGGCCCGTCCAATCGGCCCGCCCGATAGGCCGCAGCCCTGCGCCCCACCAAACGTCGAACACACCAAAACACGTCCCTCTCACCGTCACACTGCCTCCCCCAAACTACGAACCCCCAGCACACATCGAACAAAAAGATAAAGACGACAGCAACCAACCCACAAAAATAGCGAGCATACAGAAAAACAAAATGGAAAGACAGCTGGTGCTCTTGGGTACCGGCGATCTTTCTCTGTTACCCCGGTGTGCCGCCCGCACCCGCGTATTGACGTCGGCGGCAGTCGAATAAATGTTGGGTGGGCATGCTCGCGTAAAACATACCTGCTCCCCCCCTCATTGGACAGGAGTCTCCCCTAACAAGACAAGAGAAAAACACGAAGGTGAACGTGAAGAGCAAAGGGGAAGACGTGCCTACGTTTTTTTTTTCTAATTTGCGCACGCAGCGCGGCGCCTTTTCTCTCTTTCGCTCGCGAAGCTTACCGCGAGGAGTGCACAGCGTGACCGCAGATGGCTCTACCCTCTATCTCCCTCCCTCTCTGTTTCTCGCCACGGGGCGATCGACAGATCGATTCGATTGGGACCGATACACAAACCACGCAACACATGAAAATAAATAAAACAGAAAAGGCGTTTACCAGAGAGCGATGTAAAAAACTCGGCTTCAAAGCCTCCCTACCTCGCGCTCACACAAAACAGCTAATATATCACTTGTTCGTTGTAGTACAGTGATTCCTCTCCAATGGGGTGGTCGCTTCCGGAGCCTGCTTGTGGCACCTTGCCACATCGAAGGAATTGCAACAAAATCGAGCACGCCTCGATTAGGCAGAGATCGACCGCACCTCCCCTGCACACGGCGTGTCCGAAGCCCCCCCCCCCCCCCCCCCCCCCCCCCCCCCCCCCCCCCCCCCCCCCCCCCCCCCCCCCCCCCCCCCCCC